CCCGGCATGTGGGCAGGAGCTGGAGGGCAGTTGTGGGCTGGATGTGGAGGCAGGCGGAGCAGGACCTCCGCTTGCATCCCCAGGGGCTTCTGTCCTCCTTGCTTGGTCTTTACAGGCTCGTACTACTGACAGTGTTTTATAAGCAAACACAAAACTTTAAAAGAACATCCCTAACACTGGAGGACTATCAACTCTGACCCCCAAACTACTCTAAGTCAGCTACCCTAGGGGACATGTCCCTGGAACAGCATGTTCAATCACAGTCACTGGAACACGGCCACATCCATGCCCAGAACATCCCCTACAGCACCTGCACACACAGCTGTCTGGGGGAGCGCACACTGCGTTAATCTAGAGGAACACTCACTCCCACAATCCGGGAAAATTCCATACCCTCGTATCTCAGACCCCACCACACGTCATGCCAGGTTCCCCACTTGTGCCTCAGAGGTACAACTCTTACGTGGGATAACTCTTCCCGCCTGTTACCGCATCTACATCTGGAAGAAAGAGCAGACAGGCCTGCCCTCCAGGGCCACCTTATCCTGGGCACCTTCAGAATCCTAACATCGCACACGCACACTCTTACTTCCAGAAATACAAAAACAAACTTGTTACCTCTGTCCCTTTCCCCGCAGATCATATACATACCACTGTTCTTCTATAACTAAATTAATCGCTGCACCCAAAACCCAGTTTGCATTTTAGGTCACTTTTCCCTGTCAAAAGCAAGCATGACCCCCCAGCCCCAGGGGCACATGACCTGTAGCGAGGCTCACTACTACCAACCGACTCAACGGTAGCAGCAAGCAACGTCCCTCTCCCCCAGGACTACCCGCTTTGTTGCTTCTCTCCTTGGGTCTCCAATTTAAGAAATTTCTTAGAGAATGCACATTAAACACATACCTTGTATGTACGAAAAGCAGAACTCCATGGCTTTTACATATCAAAACAATGTGCATGGAAAATGAATGCTAAATAATGGGGGTACCTGCCATAAGGGGGTGCATACTCAGGGAGAAAAGCACACTCGCAGCAAGCTTTGGAAATACCCTCCTGCATACTCTTGGGGGACACCGGTCTTCAAAGAGAGCTATGGGTTAGCCTGGTGATGGGCATTAAGGAGGGCATGGAGCACTGGGTGTTATACGCAAACAATGAATCATGGACACTACATCAAAAACTAATGATGTAATGGATGGTGATTAACATAACAAAATTAAAAAAAGAAAGCAAGCAAGCACACACAGGTCAAAGGCACACACCTACACGGGTGAAGCCCCACAGGAAGGCTGCAGTCTGCAGCTACGAGGGCAAATGCTCAGGGCCACTTACACTTCCAAGAAGTGGGACAGATCAAGTGGACGTTCTTGAGCACTTACCTGGAGATAGGCAGCCCAGAAGAGGTCACTGAGGGGTAGACCTCGGGTGTGTTTATTCAAGAAAGAGATTCGTGAATCAGAATTGTAACAAGGACAAACTCACAACTTAGAGGACGTCCGTATTTTTGTTTTACGAGGAAATGATCCTACATGATTACCAGTTAGATCTGGCACATTTTGTTTATAGAAAATGAAGAATTACACTGAATTACAATGCTTATCTGAAACACACCCTTCCAGAAAGGAATCCTCATCCAAAATCAGAAAGTCACAGAAATAACTGAGGAATTACAATACTAGCATGTCATTGTGACCCCCAAATTCTCCACTGTTGTAAAGTGAAAGAGTAAAAATAGGATTTCCCGTTTGTCTCAAATGCCCACAACTAAACTCAGACAGAGATAAGTTTCCTTAAAATATACTCAGATCATCTGTGAACACAGCATGGCAAGTTATTCCCAAAAGGTTATTCCTTCAGTCCAACTGTCAGCTAAAGAATACTTAGCATGAGAGATCACCAATTGGAGCAAACGTGTTCTTTATACTTGAAAAAATAAACAGAAAAACAGGAAATTTTCCAAAGTTACTTGTCTCCATTCAGTACAAAAACCAGGGATTCCATGTGACCCAATGCGGTTACATACGTGTTTAAAAGGGTCTCTCTCATGAGCGTGCACATGGAAACACAGGGTAAGATGTAAAAATTGGTGCAACAGGATGCAGCTACCCCTGACATAAGTAAACACAGACACGTAATGGCTTTCTTTTCTAAAGATTTTATTTTTAAATAATCTCTATACCCAACATGGGGCTCAAATGCACGACCCCAAGATCAAGAGTCGCACGTTCCACTGACCAAGCCAGCCAGGTGCCCCTCACTTTTAAGTCAGCTCTACCCCCCATGCAATGGCTAGTTGTTCGAGCAGCATCTGTCCCCAGCAGCTGTCTGTCCCCACACTCCGCAGTGCAAGGCGTTAGTGCGGCACTGCCAGACTTCACAAGGGTGACAGCACACTGTGAACCCACCTACTGCCAACAGCAACACCGCACACACCCCAGTCCTTTAGGAAACAACTCCCAAAGTCACCTGAAGAGGACTTTGAGACCCACGGACTATCTTTTCCATGTAATTGTCAACAGGTAACTCTCAAAACTCCATGGGGAGAAATACCTGAGAAGTAAAAATTCACCTGCACGCTTCCTGTGGCAACTCAAAGTCAGCCCAAGATTCCCATTAAAATGAGTCATTCCCGGGGCGCCTGGGGGGGCTCAGTCGGTGAAGAGTCTGCCTTCGGCTCAGCGGGGAGTCTGCTTCTCCCCGTCCCACTGCCACCCACCCCTGCTCATGCTCTCGTCTCAAATAAATAAAATCTTTAAAAATAAACAGAAAAGGGACGCCTGGGTGGCTCAGTCGGTTAAGCGTCAGCCTTCGCCTCAGGTCATGATCCCAGGGTCCTGGAATCGAGTCCCACATCAGGCTCCTTGCTGAGCAAGGAGCCTGCTTCTCCCTCTGCCTGCCTCTGTCTCTCTCTCGCTCTGATAATAAAATCTTTAAAAAAAAAAATAAATAAAATAAACAGAAAATAAATGAGTCATTCATAGCAGAATTCAAGGCCTAGATTCAAAAGAGATAGGCCCAGTCAGGTTCCACTCTGATGGCAGGCCCCAGCACCAGCTCTGTGACCCCTTGCCCTCACTGGTAAAGGCAAAGACCACCTCACCCTCCCCTCTCCCTTCCCCCACTCTAGCATCCTGGAGCCCAGGTCCTGGCCCAGGGCAGCACTCTTGGCCCCAGGATGACCAGCAGACTACAGGACTGGCCAGGAGCTGGGCTTAGAAACTAGACTCAGCCCTTCCCGGGGCCTGACCAGGGACAATGGGCGAGTCCGCCCCAGCAGCTGTGTCTATAAGATTAAGGCGACATTTCCATCCCTATCAGCCTGATACCAGCGCTGCGTGCTCCGCTGACTCCACACCTGCATGCATTAGGAGGAGGATTTGTGCCCTAGGCCCTGAATATCCAGGTCTTCCGGGTCGTGATGAGGACTAAATGAGGCCACAATAACAGCACTTCGTACAGTAACCAGAACAGAAGCAACCAAGAAACTTATTTACTGTGACCTTTACTGGAATGAAGATACTGTATTTGTTATCTACTAGAGAAAAATAGCAACAGTGAGGTACCATTTCACACCCAATAACTACTATCAAAAAAAAAAAAAAAAAGTGTCGTCAAGGACGTGGAGAAACTGGAACCGTCGTGTACTGCTGGGGAGAGCAGCATGGCAGCTTCTCAGGAATCTCAGTCACCCCAGGAACCAGCAACTGCACTCCTAGGCACACAACCAAGAGAACGGAGAGGACTCAAGCAACCTCACCCAGGTTCACAACACTACTCACAACAGCAAAAGGTGGAAACCCAAATGTCCAGCAACAAATGAATGGATAAGCAAAATGTGGTTTTGAAATAGAAAAAATGTTGGTCTGCCCCCCTGGTTCCGGACGCAGGAAATTAACAGGGTTCTGGGAGCTCTGAGGTCACTGAATTGCTCTGACACCACCCACCTGGTGTCAGAAGGGTTGGGAGGGTGGCAATTAGCGCCAAGTCCACAGAAGCACAAGGGTTTTCATACGGTGGACTCTTGGACAACACAGGCTGGAACTGCAGGGGTCCATTTTCAATACACTGTAGTACTGCAAATGCACGATTTCTTCCGCTTTTTTAGCAATGCCTCCTTCAACTTTAAGGATAAGGTATATGACGACAAAAAATATACTTTATTTCATCAGTAAGGCTTCTGGTCAATGGTAGGCTACTAGCAGTTAAGTTCTGCGGTGTCAGAGTTATACAGACTTGGGGCTGCACAGGGGGGTCGGCACCCAAGCCCACGTTGTTCAAGGGGCATCTGCATGCAGGAAATCTGTGAAGTCAGGAACAACACAGCCGCACTCATAAACCCAGCAGTCTTTGTACACCGCTAACGCTGACTCATGACATGAGCCACGAAGCGACGTGCGCTCAGGACACACACTGCCCCGGCACTGCCCCAAGCAGGACAGCACGTGCAGGGGACAGAACTGTCACACCCACACCCTTCTGACAGAAAACACAGCCCCAGCCTCAGAACTTCTATTCCTCAAGAATCACACAACACAAATGAAGTAAGTGCCGACTACAACTATTCCCTTTCAAAATAATATAAGCCTCTGAATAACTTTTTAGAAGTCAATTATGTTAATTACAGAGAACATAAGGAAAGTGCTGCATTTTAAAATACTATACAAATATAAATACAAAGAAAAACAAATTATACATCATTGCCAAAAGCATCCACAGTGATAAAAATTAACAGCCTGTGTGATACGGCAAACCCCAAGTCCTTATTTTAAACAGGTATCATGACTGAATGAAATGCTCCTTTTAAGGATGGACCCTTCATGCCAGCACCCCAAGGCGGAGGAAAGCAAGGATCACTTCGCTGGAAGAAGCAGGGGGCAAGAGCAGGACTCCTCTGCCCAGTTCACCCGGAGAGGAGCTCCCCACGTGCAACGCACGCCCTTCTGTCTGTGCTTCGTGCCTAGACGGACAGCAGCCCCTCCGGCAGGGCCCCCACTTACCGCTGGGCTTGATCTCCCGCACGTAGTTGCTGGGAAACCAGCCAGTCCTGCCGTTGTGCGTGCCCTCCCACCAGCCGCCTTCCTCCACCCGCGTGACATGGATGACATCTCCCTTCGTAAAGGAGAGCTCGTCTTCATTGGTCTGCTGGAAGTTGAACTTGGCTCTCACTACCAGTTGGTTGTTGCTATTGTCAGTCATGTCCTAAAAAGGGAAGAAGGGGGAGAAAAATTTCATGGAGTCTACTTCACATAAAATCAGATGATGTTTGACTAGTATGAGTAGAGCGTAACTGCCCCATTCCAACAGAACAACCGTTCAAGTACAGAAACAGGTTTGGGACCTCCTACAGTGTACCCTGACCACTGGTACCCGGTTCCAGCCCTGGAGGAAACCCTCTTCACGGTCTGAAAGGCCTTATTTTGGCCAAGGTTAGGCCTACGTTAACATTACACACTTTCATACATACATTTACATCAAATTATATGGAGCATCTCGACAATTTATCAAAAGTTAACACAGTGTGGTCATTTCTAGCATAATTACTTTAGTCTTAACTAACCATGCAACTGAACCGTATGGCCATGCCATTAACTCATTCTCCATTACTGGATTTAAGGTTATTGCTACCATTTTTCTACTGCAAAACAAGTTTGCGTTAAAACTATCTGCACATCTCTGAACACACCTGTAAATAAGCCTACACGTTAAATTCAGGTCAGAAAACATGTACGACACATTCTAAATTTTAGTACCAATTTCTAAACTGCCCTCCAGAGGTTCTACTTACAGCCAGCAACACTCCCCCCAGCAGTATTGAAGAGCTGGCTCTCTGCACACTCACCAGCACTCAATATTGCCCAGCATTTTTATTTGTGCCCAACTGCTGGCAAGAAATGCTATCTCCTTTTCATTTGCCTTTTTTCCTCAGATTCAGCATATGTGCCTATCTCTGAAAGGCTGGAAGAGGGAGGCAGACTGGCTAGAGTTTCTTTTTATTCCCATCCACCCCACACTGGGTGCTGGAGAGGCTTGCCACTAGAAACTACCAACAGGAGTAAACTAAACACATCCCCCCCAAGGAAGCCTGATCTCCTGGTGAAAGGAGCCAAAGAGGGCCAGAGAGCAGGCCCACTCACCCACTGGCAGGGGTGCGCCCTCTCAGCCTGCACCTGGGAGTCCACGGGGACAGGAAAGGTTGTCCCATACCCTACGGAGCACCAGCACTCCCCCTGCACTGGAGACATCAGCAAAGATCAGGCAGGGAGTCCCCGCCTCCACCCCCACCAGGTGGCAGCCAATGGCCCCATGTGCCTACACCAGTGTCCCCTGTCCTCCAGCCAGCCTCAGGGGAGGGCCCAGGCCCAGCATGTCCCCCTCTCCCATCCAGCAAGGTCATCAGGGACCAGAAGGAACCCCAGCAATACCAGGGGGGTGAGGCTGACCAGACACCCCCGCAAGGACTCTGGAAACTAAGCTACCCACTGGAAGCACAACCTACCAACACAGGCCAGGACCATTATGTCAAGCCCAGTCAGGGTCATGGCCTGCAAGCACACCAGACATAAAAGTAGGATGCAGCATCTCCTTGAATTCCTCCCAAGTGTCAAGAATACAAGGCAAAGCACCGCTCAGAGAACCAGGACAACCCCGGCCTGAACCAGTGAAGGCGCCGACGGCAGCACTGACATACAGCAGATGCTGGGATCACAAAGGGCTTTCGTCAAAAGGCTCCAAAAGCCATCACAAGTTCTCTCAAAATAGAGGAATGAAACAGAGAATCTCAAAAAAGAAAAAAGAACTTACAAAATTTACTCAAAACAGTGGTGAAAACATGGGGAGCCCCAGGGACATGTGGAAAATGACAGACCTGAGACTGGTGTCATCGGGGTCATGGAGAAGAAAGAGCTGTGCTGGAAGGTGGTTTGAGAAACATAGCTAATCATGTCCCCAACCTGGCAGAAGACACAAACCTACAGAGTACCGAAGCTGCATGAACCCCAAGCAGAAGCAGCCCAAAGGAGCCCCAACCAAGTCACGTCGTCATTGAACTATGGAAAACTGAAGCAAAGCTTAGAATTAGTATGAAAAAGGCATGTGGTGCTATGCAAGCTCTCAAACACTTCATGGCCCATGCACTCTCTCCTCAAGTTACTGAAAGATGTGCCCCTCCAAAACAGGGTAACCAGCCAGGGAAAAACAGAAGACTCTACGTCTTCTCTACGGAGGAGGGAGGGACAGGCTTCGGTCAGAGGGAGGGGAGGGTGACGCAGGAGGACAGCTCAGACGGAGGCTGGCAGGAGCCTGGCCACAACCAGGAGACTCTCAAGTGGCCACAAGACTGCAGGGGAGTTCCCAGGGAAGAAGTGAAAAATCCTAAGCAGGTCTGAATGTACAGGAGATTCTTAGAAACAGGCAGAATACCAGGGCTGCAGTCTGCAGGGGTGCACAGAAAGCTCAAACAGGCAGCAGTTATTAACTCTAGATAACAAAACATGGTCAGGAAAGGAAGAACAATCACAGCACATGCCCCGGCCACGCTGTGGGTCTGGGACATGGTGACGTTATGCGGACGGGACCCAACAGAAGCCACGGGGGAAACCCAGGCAAGAGGAAGGTACGGGCCCAGGGTGCAGCATGAGACCCCAACACCCCCACTCCACGGCAGGTTTAAGAAATTAAGCTTCACACAGGCATTTATTGAGACAACGGGGAAGATGGGAAGTAGCTGGCTGCCCGGTTCCTCCTGCACCAAGTCCTGAAGGACCTGATTCCAAACTAGGTGCATGTGTCACCAAACAAAAAGAGAAAGAGAAAGCACAGTGGGACAGGGCTTCAGGAGGGGCAGACAGCTCCTCAAATGTTTAATACTTACCTGTGTACTTTACATTAATATAAATTACAAAAATTTACTCGTTTAGATACATCCATTAAATGTTTTATCTAGTAAATTAAACACGTCACACCTACTGCATATTTAATGCTTAGAATGCTCAGTAAGGAAATCTCTTGAGCATTTGGCAACACTGAAAGACAAAGCTCTGGCCAACCAGTCACCTCACACGTGATGCTTGCTGGCATACTTGAACAGTGAGGGGCAGCTGAAGCCCCCCACTAGAAAGGGCACATCTGTCCCCGCTCTGGGGAAGGAAGCCAGGTCGGACTACCACACTGGGTCAGCTCATCTCTGCAAACCACGGTCATCCTGCATAGGTCGTCCACCACCACCTTCCTTTCTGTGACCCACCCTGGGCAAGGTGGCTTGGTATAAAACCTGCACAGAGCCAATCCTGGTGATGAACTTCCACAACGGAACACAACACGTAAGCAAGCACACACAGAGCGGGCCCCACGGAGCTCAAACTGCCCCCCCCCCGGGAATGACCCTACAGCCAGCCCATCCACCTCAGCTCAGCAACCAGGTGCCACAGCGACCGGAACAGGACAAATAAGGTCAACTACACTCTCTCCCCCAAGTGGCAAATTCTCTGCACTCAGGCACACGTTAGGCAAACACCACAGACGCTTCTTCCACTTCAGAAACTCCACAACAGAAGGACGGGGGCCAGCCTAGATCTGTCTGCATTTCTGATTCCACAGATGTCCCCTGGTTCAGCACCTACTAGAGACGTAAATGTAAGATGCTGTTCTGAGGAATGCTGCTAAGAGAGCAAGATGCAGCAAGGGGGTGCACCAGACAGGATGCCACAATGACTCCACACAGCCGCTGGCCTCCTGTCCCGACGCAGACGAGGAGTGCTCAAGTCACTGCCGCTGGGGTCAGGAAACCATAAGGACGTATTTAACCACCATCTTATTTTGGATTTCTCTCCTTCCCTTTTTTCTAAGTGCTCCTGCAACTAAAGCTCATGAGGTATCTGGGTTCAAGCTGACACACCACGACAGCCCACAACATAATGGGCTGAGCCCAAGCAGCCGCTCACAGAGCGAGTATACGCTGGGGAATTCCATTTATGTCAAATACAAAACAAGTAAAGCTCATCTTTACGGTCAGAAATCAGGACAGCAGATGCCTGTGGGAAAGGCAAACATAACAAAGGTGACATGGGTCAGGTTCTACTTCTCGATCTTACATGGGATTGTGTGACTTGCAAAAATTCATCCAGCTGTTTTCTGGATGTAGGTTTCAGGTCAGTGAGGGGAGGAAATTGTGGAGTACATGTACAGTACCTCCTCTGGGAGCAGGAACCTGTCCCCACCAGGGGACACCAGCCACCTCCTGATGCCTACAATGGCCTGTCAATACCATGCACATCCAGATCTTCACCAAGCAATTTTTTTATCCCACGTTCTGAAGTTATCCTAATAATCCAAAACCAGAATATCCCAGAGCACTGCCTTCACGTGAACTCCATCCTCTGTTCCCTGGAAGTACCCATAATTTCACTGAAAGAAGAAAAGCCTGTCAAGGGAAGACCCAATTTCTACTCCAATGGCTAGTATTTCCCAGACTCGAGACCTCGTGTAAATAGGACTTCTCTAAGTTTGTTTCCTCAGAACGTACTCCGTCAAAAAGAAGATGCCAGCAACTAGACGATGCCCCCTTTGTATTCCAAATGCTGTCAGGACATACCATCAGCCATTAAGACACTTGTTACTTTCAGATGTGTAAAAAGGTTTTAAAGAGCTCTCAGAATTGATGACATATAATCCATTGAACCAGCCCAGTATTTCCATGCTTGCTGGACAGAGGAACTGGGAAGATTTAAACCATGAGGAACACACAGATATAGAGTCTTGCACGCCTTGTAGACCCTTCTGGGAGCTCAGTGACCAGGGCTGGCCCCAGTCCCAGGAGGTAGTAGGGACCACAGGGACAGGAAATGCTTTATGGGCTCACATCAGGACTCCCCCAAGTGAAGGGTGACAGGAAGCAAGCACATCCTCTCCTCATGTGACTACTCTCCCCATACGTGGGGGGAGGGAGGGACTTTGGGAGCCCACGGTCATACTTACCAGGAGGTAAGGGATGAAAACTCAGGGTAGAGAGGGACAGGAAGAATCCCCGAAGCAGTCAGGACCGGTTTATTCCCCAATAAAAAAGGATGAAGTCAGCCTCAGACAGGAGAAAAAACAAGACCCAAGTCACAGCCTGAGGCCCCCACTCCCCAGTGCAGTTACGGAGCCCCTCCCTCTGGGGGAGGGGCCCAGTGTGCAGCAGAAGGGCACGGAGAGAGCTCAGCACAGGCTGTCAGTGGGGAGCGGGGAGAACTCACCCCAAGGAAAGAGTAATGAGGAAGCAACAGGGAAGTGCCAAGGTAAGGAAGTTAAAATTTCCAGGTGAGTGCAAACAAAACATCAGAACTGCTCAAACTTGTCAGCACCACAAGCAGGAAAGCGGTCCAGGAACAGACGGATGCAGAGACCCAGAAGCAAGATCCTGCAGACAGCAAGCTCCGAGGTGGTCAGGAGAGACCTGCCCAACCAGAGGTGCGAGCACGGAGTCAGTACGTGTGCCCAAGGGCTTTGAAAGAGCACCCTGAAAACACCGATCCTGGCCTTGGGAATGGCAGTGCCGTATACAGTCAAGAGATCACAAAATTATGTTCAGGAAGCCACAAACTGATTTGAGATTATGGAAAATTTCAAACAAAAGAGAAAGTTATGGGCAGCTGGAGATCCACCTGTCCCCGAGCGGTTGTTCTCCTCCCTCTTGCGCACTCTGCCCATCCCCCAACCCCTCTGGCGATCATCAGTTTGTTCTCTATGGGTTTTGTTTTTGCCTTTTATGTCATTTATCAGATTAACACATGCAAGCGGACTAAGGTGGTACTTGTCCTTCTCTGACTTATTTCACTCAGCGTTATACCCTCTAGGTCCATCCACGTTACTGCAAATGGCAAGATCTCGTTCTTTATGGCTGAGTAATATTTCATTGTGAATATATACCACCTTTACTCATCTGTCTGGACACCTGGGCTGCTTCTCTATCTTGGCTATTGCAAATAATGCTGCAATAAATACAGAGGTGCGTGTATCTTTTTAAATTAGTGTTTGTTTCCTTTGGGCAAATACTCAGTAGTGGAGTTACTGATCATACGGTATTTCTGTTTGCAATCTGAAGAACCATGATATTGTTTCCCACAGTGGCTGCGCCAATTGACCTTCCCAAAACAGTGCCGAGGGCTCCCCTTCCTCCACATCCTCGTCAACACCTCTTAATGGTCTCCCCGATACCAGCTATTCCGATGGAGATAAGGGCTTCTCTCACACCGTGCTTCTGAGATGTAAGTCTGTGGTGGTCAGTGATGTGGAGCATCTTTTCATGGGGCTTTGGACCACATGTAGGTCTTTGGGAAAATGTCCATTCAGGTCCTCTGCCCATTTTTAATCGGATTTTTTGATGTTCACTTGTGTAAGTTCTTAATATATTTTTAGATACTAACCCCTTATCAGGTCACTTCCAAATAACTTCCTCCACTCAGCAAGTTGTCTTTTTCATTTGTTGATGGCTCCTTTGCTGTGATAAAGCTTTTTATTTTGGTGTACTCCTAAGTTTTTTGTTTCCCTTGCCTGAGGAGACATACCGAGAAAAAGATTTCTATGGCCATTGTCAAAGAAATTACTGCTTTTGTTTTCTTCTAGGAGTTTTATGATTTCAGGTCTCACATTTAGATCTTTAATCCATTTTGAGTTTATTTTTGTGCATGGTGTAAGAAAGTGGTCTAGTTTTCCCCAACACCACTGTCTGAAGAGACCCCGTCTTTCCCCATTATATATTCTTGCCTCCTCTGCCACAGATTCATATAATATTTATTTATATTAGACACACAGCCGTAGGCTCATTTCTGGGCTCTCAGCTCTGTTCCACTGATCTGTGTCTACTCTTCTGCCCGCACTGTACTGGCGGCCACAGCTCTGCAGTGGGCCCTGGAATCGGGGATTAGGATCCCTCCAGCGTTGCTCTTCCTCAAGACTGCCTCGGCTATTTCAAGTCTTCTGTGGCTCCACACAAACTGTAGTACTACTTGTTCTAGTTCTGGGACCAGTACTACTGTGGTTCTGGCAGGCACTGCATCGAATCGGCAGACTAATCTGGGGACCATGGGCACGTTAACAGCATGGACTCCTCTAACCCAGGAGCATGTTTCCATTTGTTGCTGTCGTCTTCAAGCTCCTTCACTGTTTTGTAGTGTTCACAGTACAGGTCTTTCACCTCCTTGATTATGTTTATTCCTTTTTTATTCTTTTTGGCACAATTACAAATGAAATTAAGAAACCAATTTCTCTTTGTCGTGCCCACCACCCAACTTTGAATATTTTGCCAGCCTTATAATTTTTAATCCAAGAAAGTTACCTCAAAGTATTATGAACACCTGCAGAAAAATCTAAAGGCAAAAGTCATCCTCATGCAGCGTGGTAAGAGAAGCCTTGCCCCTGCTCCTTGCTCACCAGCAGCTAATGGGGTCTCTTCCAATCATAAACAGGAGGGATGGCAGAGGGCCTTTTATTTCTGGTGTAACTTAAAATTTCTCCAGCTCATTAAAAATTAATCCTAAGCTTATTGTGATCCCAGTAACATTCACTATTCAACATTACATTTAACTGCATTTTACTTGAAATTATATATTTGCAATCTAGTCTTCATGTACTCAAAAACAAGTAGTTAAAAATGGACACGGGCAGTGGTGCCTGGGAGCGTTGGACTCTTGGTTTAGGCTCAGGTCATGATCTCAGGGTCATGGGACTGAGCCCTGCCCAGCACGGAGGCTACCTGGGATTCTCTCTCTGCCCCTCCCCCCACCTCACATGCATTTCATGCTCTAAAATATTAAAGTTAGCACAGGTAAATGGGTGAGGCAACAGGTATTTCTTTACCCAGATGTGCTGACTTTGTTTTCTTACATTTTCCCTCAGAAATTTTATAAAAGCTAAACTTAAAATGTTTTTCAAGGGGCGCCTGGGTGGCTCAGTCGTTAAGCGTCTGCCTTCGGCTCGGGTCATGATCCCAGGGTCCTGGGATCGAGCCCCGCATCGGGCTCCCTGCTCAGCAGGAAGCCTGCTTCTCCCTCTCCCACTCCCCCTGCTTGTGTTCCCTCTCTCGCTGTGTCTCTCTCTGTCAAATAAATAAATAAAACCTTTTAAAAAAATGAATGTTTTTCAAGTAGTTTGTGTATTTTTCCCCAATTTGGAATCAAAATACTCCCAATAGTGCTCTGCAAAATTCACCTAGTGTTAAACCCTGTGCCTCGCAGGGTCACTGGGAGGGTTAACTGAGCAGTGCAGGGACAGCGCCTGGAACAGCAGCACACAGCACAGCATACACAAGAGCAGAAACGGTAATGGTGCCGCTCTAAGGAGAAACCAGTAACCGTGAGTCACCTTGTGTTCAAAAAGTTCAGGAACATGTAAAAATTACATTGCCTTCCATAGCTTCTTTTTCAATCCTCCTTCATGAATTAAAGTCAAATTCCCTCCACAAAATACAACTCTAACCTATTTCTTTCACCAGGGTCACTCTTACTTAACTATCTTCCTTTCTGTGTCGAAGCAGACAACGTAGCTGTGGTCCCTGAACACTCAGGAGTTGGGTTCGCTTTAGACTCGTGTGCAAGACCATTTGTCTCTAACACAGGTTTATTAAAGTGGCACATGGAAGTGAAGTCACACGACTAAGGGCAATCACCCAGTAACTCCAAAGAGGGCTCCACATGTTTGTCCAAGGACTGCGGGATGGCCTCTCAGCACACGGTCCCCATTCAGCACTGTACTTCCATCTCTGTCCAGTTTCATGGTTTCGCCCTATGTTCTTTGCTCACAGCCTGTATCCTAACAACTCAGACATGGATTTTTCGTCACTTCCCAGGATAACCATTCACTTCAGTTCCTTTTCCACATCCCCACCAGCCATTAGAAGGAAGTCCCTCCTTCACCAATCACATCCTGACTCAGGAGAGCACTCTAAGTCGTGCTTAGAAAGACCACCTTTTGATTCTTTAGCTGTTAGCCATTTCTTCCTTACGCATCTAAATTTCTTATTCCCATACTTCTGTACATTTGCACAAAGCAAATAAAGTACAAGGGATCTGGGAAACACTTTAAAGCACCCATCTCTCTAGATTAACACATCTAAGGAGTCTTAAAATATAGCCCCCAAAATATACAAGTTTCTCAAAAGCAGTCAAGCGTAACATGTGGATAATGTGGTGATAAGCAAACGCCATACTCAAGTAAAGGGACCGTGGGAACAAAGCCAAAGCACCCTCCAGCTGGGCAGCACTCAGTCCAGGGGCACACACACCTTCCTGGATATACCTGCACACACTCATCTCCCCAACATACTCCAATCATTAATTCAAACTTACCAAACTTCGATACTGGCCCTGGAACAATTTTGAAGTCCGACTGTGTGAAGGCTGAGCTCCGAGGGAGTCAAAAGACTTTATCCGATGAGATGAGGGCCGGGCACACACGGAGTCACTTCCCAGGCCGATGTCTGAAAAGGTCGTGCAGAGAGAAGAGCGAGCCGAGACGCTGGCAAGCGCACACCCTTGCAGCCCACTGGACTCCCAACGGGGGCAGCCCCCAGGGGACACACGGCAGGGGCAACGGAGTGGGCCACGCGTGCAGCAGAGCAGACTGCCCACCGCAGAAACGGCGTGCACGCTCTCCAGAAATTAACTGGACAGAACTATTCATCAGTTCCTTAGTATAATTTTCAAATTTCTTAAAGGTTTTGTAACTTTTTAATATTTTCCCCTTCACATGGAAAACACAAGCCTCTCAAATTCAGAGCATCCCCCCAGTACTGATTCCCAGCACACTGTTCCTGCCCACCCACTTCTCCAGGACTGAGCTTCATGCAATAAACAGCAGGAATTATTTGCAACAAAAGGAAAAGACTCTTACTTAAAGAGAAAAATCCCCTTAGAGCTTTTAGCTAGAGACCCTTCTGAGGATTACTTCCTCAGGAACGATAGCAGCCACACTTTACTTCACAAAGTTGCTGGAAGGACTGAAGTAAACAGGTATGAAAGTGCTCAGCTCACTCCCTCAGTCTCTTCATGAGTAGAGACACTCCACTTGGGCCAACCAAGTAAATGTTAGCAACCCATTTCTTAGAAGGGAGTTGACTAAAACAACCAATGAAGCCATGAAGAAACTTTCCAGGGAAATCACTATACCAAGATCCACAAACCTAGCAACTTCCTAAAACTACTACACGTATGGGGAGCCTTCTTTAAAAATATCCTTGGGGCCGTGGGTGGCTCAGTCAGCTAAGCAGCTGACTCTTGATTTCAGCTCCGCACTGAGCGTGGAGCCTGCTTGGGGTTCTCTCTCTCCCTCTGCCCCTCCCCACCCCCCCACCCCCCACACACACACGCTCTCTAAAAATAAATAAAATATAAAGAAATAAAATAAAAATATCCTTAAACCGGTCATCTCCAGTTCCTATTTTTCTGTCAGACCTGTTGGGGTTGGCTTACACCGTGTCTTACAAACCTAGTTAGTTGTCAACTGCACGTCTGAAGTTCTCAGAGGAAAGCCCAGATCCGCAGCTGTTCTTGAAGCACACAGGCTGTGGCACCACTGGGGCTACATTCCCTGAGAGCCAAGCAGGCCTGCGCACATGGAGAGGGGCCGACTTGCCTGGACCTCTGTCTGTCCTTCCTGATGCCCACCGGGCTCTACAGACACCAGTGTCTGGAAACCCAGTCCTTGAACAGCCATGCAAGCCCGGTCGTAAGTCCCTAGCAGAGCAGCTCGAACAGGCCACTGCCATCCTCAGGTCCTGCTTCAGGCTGTAGTAATCACCAGTGCTTTCTACTGCAGCAAGGCACAGGCCTCAGGAATCTCGAGTACAAAACCAGCTCCTTGGGGGCATTTCCTGGGGATTCCGCCCACAGTGGCGACACACCGTACCCCCTGTTCTCGCCTAATTCTACCTTTCAAGGGACCGTTTAGTGTAATGGAAGGGTCTCAAGACATCCCTTATTTCCCAAGGTCTTCTGTCCAGTTAAAAGGCAAGTGTTCGGGGCACCTGGGTGGCTCAGTTGGTTAAGTGACTGCCTTCGGCTCAGGTCATGGTCCCAGGGTCCTGGGATCGAGCCCTGCATCGGGCTCCCTGCTCGGCGGGAAGCCTGTTTCTCCCTCTCCCACTCCCCCTGCTTGTGTTCCCTCTCTCTCTGTCACTGTCAATTAAATAAATAAAATCTTTAAAAAAAAAAAAGGCAAGTGTTCATCGATATACTCAAAAAACACAAGGGTCTTTAAGTGGCAGAAGTAAAGGGAAAACATGAACATGCTTTTCTCAGAAAGGCCTACAAACCTGGAACCAACAGCTGCAACTGTGTTATTATTCAGTCATTTAAGAGTCAGATCTAAAAAGACAGAGTCACTTCCATCACGCGGACTTCAGGGACAAAATTTAAGAGCAAATGGCTCAATATAAAAGCAAGAAGTTCTTGGGGCACCTGGGTGGCTCAGGCATCCAACTCGATTTCTGCTCAGGTCATGATCATAGGGTCGTGGGACGGAGCCCTGCGTCAGGCTCCACACTCAGTGCAGAGTCTGTTTGCGATTCTCTCTCCCCCTCTCCCACTGCCCCTCTCTCCTCTTGCACACAGGCACACTCTCGCTCTAAAAGAATAAAATAAAATAAGGGGGGGAGCCCTTTCCAGCTGAGAGGCTTCCAGTGTCAACACTGAAAGGAAGGGTACCAAGTTTATCAGGTTTATTTTGCAGCTTTCCAAACAGGTCTTTGTCAAGAACACCTTATATCTTCTAAGTGTCCACTGCTCTCAAGGGTACAGGAGTAATATTTGTGCACAAGAAGGGGTAAAAACAACGGTATCGTGCCCAGGAGAGTCAGATCGGGGCCACGTTCGTGACGAGGAGCACCCGCCCAAGGGCATGGACCAAAGCTGCCCCACGGCGCACCCCCCTCATGTTCCCGGAGACCAAGCAAGCAGTGGTCCTCCTCCCTCCTGAGCAGCCACCAGAGAAGGAGGCCCTGGGGGCAGACTGCCTCTGTGTCGGCTACTCTCTCCCTGTCCGACGGAGAACCCCAGCAGTCCCAGGACGCATCCGCAAAACTGAGGCACAGGTGGTTATTAAAGCAGCTCACAGGCAGGACCCACATGGCGAAGAAATGCAACTGTGCCCGCTCTGCCTCGGTTTCTCCATTCAATTCCAATGATCTGCTCTAAGGTTTCCGTCACTGCATTACACCCACCGTCACACACGTCTCTTCCTAGTCTGGCTGTTCACATTAAAGCTACCTCCATTACAATGTGGGATAAAGAAGGCAGCTTCAATGACTACAACCTTATAAAATGTCCTAATGTTCTGTCTGCTAAATATCAAGTGGTAGGATGATTCTAACTACGAACATTTTTATAACCCTTTCCTTTCTCCATCCTGGTCTCTCTCCCTCCTCCTGGATTTAGATCGTCACCGACCTCCCCACACTTGCTCACGTAAGGTCCTAACTTATCAACTGAGCCAATTCCCCCAGATACTTCCACCTCAAAAGCCCTAGGAGATTTTGAGCTTTAAACCACACAGTCAAGCTGGGAAAACACAGCTGCATCAAAAGTCCTGCCTGGGGACGACAGGCAGGGGCAGGGGCTCTGGGTGGTGCTCCCCCCAACCCCGGCCCCCCACCCTACACCTCTGTGTGGGCAGGAGACGGCACCCGGACAGCTGTCCCAGCAAACAAGTTCTAGGAAGGGGCACCTGAGCCCCTGAGCACTGCACACCCCAAGCTGGGACTGCAGCCCACAGTGTTCTGACTGTTCCCCCACACCCAATCTGAAGGGCCAGGAAGAAAATGACAAGAGCCCCTCACAAAATACACTTGGTTTTTTATCAAGAGATCTCAAGGTCTAACTTGTTCCCATAAAGCTGAACCTAAAAATGTATAAAGGTAAATGGAAAAAGAAAAAGGACTTTAAAACACAAGAGCCACTAAATCCTTTTAGACCCACACAGCTCCCTAAAGATAGAGCTTCTCAGTGCTCAGGGGCAGGCGGGGCCTCCCCCCAAGAAATCTACACAGAAGCTCTCCTGTCCTCACAGTGTCTGGGAGCTCAGCTCCATTCAGCCCCCTCCACTGAGGGATGACCCAGGCTCACAACACTGCAAAGCACATAGCCTGGGCATCCTCATCACCCTCAGGAGGCCTGGCCCAGGTAGGGGTTTATTTCAGGGGCCAATTCACTGGCCACCTCCCTGGTCATGACCACACCTCAAAAACAGTCCCTGGATCTGCTCCCGAGACATGAGCTTTGATCAGCATAAACTTAATAAAAACCCAGAGAAAGTGCTTCTATCTCCAAGACAGCCCATGAGTGTGCCCACATGAAAAACATTTCTCCTCTGCTTATGGTTTCAACTAGACATCTTTCTGCCCACAGAAAGGAAAATACCTGCTATCCACCAGAGGCCCAAAGAGGAAGACTGATAGAACAAGAAAAAAAAAAAAAAAAAACACAGCAAAAATTACAACCGAATATGTAATGTGATAGCTTATTTTTACAATTCAGTAATGTTCATTTTTGCCTTGCCAACCAAAAAGCAGATGTTTTTGCCCTTTTATCTTCCCACCCCCTCAAGTTCAATAAAAAATTCTTACCTGCTGTTACTTTGTTTAGAGTCACTAAGGAACTGAGGACCTTGTTAAAATTCTGCCCCTGATACAAATCATTTGCATCAAATGTCTGAAAGGAAAAATTAAACAAGTTAGTAGGGTCTTACACGTTGGGTGCAGGATAAATGAAGTCCTCCCAGCAGTGAGAGGACCATGGCAGGATTCGCTGAGCAAGTCCTAAAGATGCAGGCTGACCTGAAGGAGCAGACCAGTGAACACAACTTCCAGCAGAGGGCCAGGGGTCCCACCAGAGTTCCGTCATTCAGGCACGCTTTGATCCGGGACACAGGGCATGAGGCCAGCTTCACAACCGCCAACTCCCCACATGGCCCCCACCCCTTGGCGAGCCGGGGAGGAGCCGCCCCAGCTAGGGAGCTGCAGCTGCTGGCCCTCGGTGGGGCTGAGCTGGCTTCGCAATCCCATCCCAGCCACAGTCCGTTCCACAGCTAAACACAGCAAGAGAAACATAACTGACCGCACGAGGAAGGGAAAGCAGAAGCAGGTTCCAGAAGGAGGACAGCTCTGGGGGGACACCTCCGTCCTCCGTGGAAAACCCTGAGGCGAGACCAGGACTATGGAAGTCTGCACCTCCTCCAACCTCGGGCGCCTACAGACCAGGCACACGGGAGAGTCAGTCCTGGCGCTCTTGCACCCATACGCACAAACAGCCTGCCTGGATACCTCACAGCTGCTCTACGATGTGTGCGCATGCACCAGCGCACACAGATCTCACTCCCAAATACTGCCCGAAGACTACATATAGCTTCTGACCACCAAGGAACCTCCACAAAAAAGTTCTAGTCAAATCACCCACAACTGCGCCAGAAAAATGATGAAAAGATATCTTTCAGAGATGTCGATAACAAACATGTATTTAGATACCCAAACGTAAACCATGTCAACAGCCTTCCAAGTTTCTCGCACTACTATCACCAGTCATCCCAGGAAGGAGTATCAGGAGGAGGAGGGCCCCAACTTCCTCTCCAGGCTGCCTGCCACCTCCTCTTCCCCCACCTCGCACATCCTGCCAGGCACCCCCACTTCTTCCTGCCTCCCACCACCCATCCCTCAACTCTTTCTCACAGGACTTCTCCCGGCCACGCTTCCCCACCACACTTGGTGAGGTGCTTACCTAACCAGGCTCTCCCAGTACACTCATGACAATGACAACTTTATGTTCCACGAGTGGATGCCGCCCTACACTGTAAAATCTATAAACCAGATTTTGCAACACCTAACATCTAGCAAAATGGCCAGCACACAGTAAAAACTCCAATGCTTGCTGAATGGAAAAATGTACCAATCAATCCACCCGTTCACCCTGTGCTAAATGTCACTAAGGGACATCTATGTCAAGAGCCGCTAAGAGGAGCCGTTCCAAATCTAACTGCTGCCTCCCTCAAAAAATCTTCAGTTAATAGTCTTTGCATTTAATTTCCGAAAGGAGTAAAAAATCGTGAGGTCAAGTTAAACATGGGCAACCAGAAGAAAAACCAAAAACTGAAAAACTTCAAGAAAGGAGGCCATCAAATCATGGAGTCAAGCGAGGAGCTGAACACACAGCTTGCCTTTCTAAACGCTGAAAGAATCGAACAGAGCCCTAGCGTGTAAGTGTGGCCGCATCGACGCATTCTGTACAGGTCCCGATGCCATTTCTCTCACAGCGGACATACACAAGAAGGCGGATTTCATGCCAGATCCTTCCTGTAAAAGGTATCCCTCAGAACAGAGCGTCTTTAGAACCAGCTCCTACAACACAGAATGTAATTCATTTGTTGTGATATTTAAGAAATTCCAAGTCAAATGAAAGCGCAATCTAGGCTGACACATCCACCTTCATTTTTTAATGTTAATTTTTTGGGGGGGTTTCTTTTGTTTTTTTAGAGAATTAAGAGTATTAGTATTAACCTCAATAGGCCCCAGCTTCCTTCTATGTAGAATATGAATATTCCCCCACTTGTGAAATGCAGGAGCAGCTAATCTGCAGGTCTTTCAGCTCTAAAGTTCTCATTTTAGAGATAGAAAAATTAAATGTGTGGCATTCTATGAGAAGAATTCTATATAAAAAGTCTACTAACCTTCATTGTGGTGAGGCAGCAGCAAGCCACAAAACCCAGAAAAACAGGATGTTGAAAACTGAAGTTTCCTGTTATTCCAGAACTATATATCCTTCTTACTTGGATACCAGGAAGTGTCTGGTTGGCTGAAGCTGCCTGCCAATGGGCTTCAATGTGACATCAGAACTTAAGTGAATTCACATATGCACCACATTTCTTAACAGGAAACTACACAATGAGAGGAGACAAACGCTTGCCACTGAGGAAAAACACACATTCTGGATCATTGAAATGTTTTGACTAAAACCCTTCTCTAGAAAGAGAGAGCAAACTATTTCCTGAATCAGGAATCTATTCAACAAAAACCAAAATCAGAAAAATCTGCGAGTATATAGTTTGTACTATGGGAACAAGAGCAAAGTCCCATGAGGACTCTTACAGGAAGATCTCAGCAAAAGTCAGCCCACTTGTAGGAGCAGGACACTCAGCACACTAAATTATCCAGGGACACTCAGTGCCTGAGCACACCCGCTCCACCCTCATGGCCGAACCACGTTGCCCAAAGAGCAGCCCCCGTCCACCCTGGCTGGGGTCACGAGCCAGCAGGAGGGAAGGAAGCAAACCCCAAGGTCTGCCTTTCCTCAAGTGGCACTGGGAACAGTGGTCTCGGGGGGAGGCCGCATGGTAGGATCTCCAGGAATTTAGAAAGCCAAGATACTCAAGCCAAACCCCAGACCAATTAAATCGGCATCTCCGAGGAGCAACTGCCCATCAAAATGTGAACACTCCCCAGGCAATTCCATGCAGCCAGTGGGAGAAACATGCCCCTGGAGAGACAAGGAAGGTGTGAATCTTCTCCCCAGGCAGGCTCACCCCCATCACCATACGGACAGCAAGGAGGGAACACTCAATATCCCAGAGATCTTGGAAAAGCATATTGCCAAAAACTCACCCTCACTTTCACATTTAAGTGAATTAAATGTATAGCAGAATCCAATATTCTCAAAGTAAAATTTTCCTACCAGTTTCCCCCCAAAATAACTTTTTTTTTAAAAAAAAATCAGTAAATTTAATGTCAAAAGAAACACAAGAGTGACACAGAGCAAACACAAACCACAGGGAAAGCGGACAGAAGGGAGCAGAGTTGCAAGTGAGGCACGAAGTGCTCCCCACAGCACCTCTGTGCGCACTAACCAAGGGGAGCTGCCCGCCCTTCTCAGTTGGAAGGTTGCCCCCTGCCTGGTACAGCCTCAGTTTACAGGAGGCACGGAAGCCCTCAGCACCTCCGGCTCCCTGTCCTTCGCATGGGAAGGAAGAACATACGCTGGCGATAACAAGGACAGGAAGCAGCAACATGCAAATGTCTCGTATGTTGGAGAACGTACGAGATTTAAAAACTGAATCCTGCACACCAAGCCTGTGGTTTCCTGTAAAACTGACGTTATCAGTAACATTTACCAAAGAAAATTGTTTTCTAAAACACAGCTACCAAGAAAAAAGCATCCTCGATAACTGGGGGTGCTCTGGAGCAGAGACCTCACAGACCAGGCAGAAAAGGGAGTGCAGGCGTCCACACCGCACGGAGCACGCAGCGCCCCCATGCACCCTCTGGCCCCGCCCTCCACTGCTCTGCACCAGCCAGCTCCCAGCTCCCACAGGAGAGGACCCAACCCCATCAAAGTACTTGGGTTCCCATCCAGAATTCCCACCCCTGAAGCTGCTGCCTCTGACAGACTAGCCCTCTTGCTCACACCTTTCCACCTTGACAGTGTGGACACCGTAGCACCCCAAGGCTCCTGGAGGGAAATACACCAGCACGGAAGAGGAAGAATGGTCCCCCAGCCTGCACTCGGGTCTGCTCACAGCTGGCGCGAGCTGCACCTGCTGCCGGGGGACGCTCACTGTCACCGAACAGCCACCCTTATTTGCGAATGCTTCCACAAAACGATCACTCCCTGCGCCATCTGCTCAACATTCAACTATTCAAAGCCTTTTCACACAATTAACTCTCAGGGTGGGAATCCCGGCAGACCCACCCCAGCCCATTTTTAACAAAGTGGGAAACGATCACAAAATCCAAGCAGCACAGGGAGCAAAGGGCGAGGTGTCGGCAGCGCGAGCCTCAAGGGCAGCTGCGGTGAGTGGGGCTCGTGCAGAGCAGACCGACGCTGCCAGCAGCAGGGGGGTGCGGCGCCCCGAGGCCGCCACCCTGCTAAAGGTCCTGACTGGGGAGACAGACCTCCTTGCAACAGGAGGGAAAGGATATTAAATCTGAGACTCTCGGGCTGGGGGTCTCGCCTCCCCAGCCCAGAAGGGGCTGCTAGGAACCCACCGACACAGTCTGCAGCCCGAAGAGGGCCAGCCGTCCCCGCCCTGGACCCGGCGCAGTGGAGGGAGCAGCTGCAGGCCAGCTACACACAGCGCTCCCCCACATCATGGCGGGCCCCCAACTCAGGATCTGCTAGACACCCCAAGGAACATGGGGTTCCCTTACGGCTGTAGCGTCCAGAATGAGCTCTGATAGGACCACAAATCTACCAACAAGTACCGCACCAAGGAATGAAGACTGTGGTTTTCTCCACCAATACCTCCGCCAAAAAAAGCAGGAGATTAAGATAAAATTAAAATGCTCCGAAATTCAAGTTGATGAAAGTGTATTCCACAAGTACAATTACAGGCAGAGAGGTCTGAAGAGAAACATGCACGTACAGGCATGACAGAATCATCCCAAAACTAGCGACTTCCTTTATCAAGGGAAAGATGCCAAATACGAGAAAGATTCTAGCCAAGAACATATTCAATTCAGTCAAGGCAGGACACTGCCATAATCTTCCTAAAAGTATAATACTTTCCCCCCTGGGCTTAGCCAAACGCCCCCAGGCGGACAGGCGGGCAGCAGAGGACATCAGGGACAGTGGACACCTCCAGGGACACCTCCTGGCCAAGCAGTGAGGGCAGGGCAGAGACGGGCTCTCGGCATGGATGCGGCTGTGTCCTCCAGTTCCTCTCACAG